ATCATTTATAATAGAGTCTCTACAAAATTTAGCAAAAATGTTTTTATTAGTTTAGCAAAATGTTATTCGTCATATTAGTAATGTCAAGTATTAATCTTTTATTACACTTATTGCCATATGTCTAGTATGCGACGCCCTCTCTTAAGATTTATTAAAATCCCGAGTATACTTTTTTCCAAAATTCAGAAAATTAACATCAAACAGTTGAAAATTAACATAAACACCTGCACCGAAATGGATTTGAATTCTAGAGCATTTGAGATAACTCTTGTTCTTTCAAAATGAATGTTTAGCCTATCATTAAATTTTAGAGTAAAAATAATTGGATAAAAAATTTTGAGATGATTATTCAAGACTGAATCAAATTTTGGGAAAATATGCAATATATAATTATTTCTGAATATTTAAATCACTTTTGAAAATTTAGGGTATTGGAAATAAACAGGTGAATCAGTAACCGTATCACTTTTAGAGTATATCTATAATTTTTTGAGTTAATATTCTATTTTTGTTGAAAAAATATGAATGTTATCACTTAATTTATTAAAACATAATCTTAATTTATTGATAAACGATCATATTGGATTGCATCTTCAACACCTTAATAGCAATGTCTTTCATATGTGTCTGATGCAAAGAAGTTCTTTATGAGCCATGTCAGACCTATATAAATACAGGAACATGTCAGTCATATACGTGATTTAAAAAACAGTTTTTTCCAGGAATTTTGGCAAAAAAAATTCTTTAATATATTAAGTTTCCTTGATACATTTTTAATGAAATTATCTAATAATTTACCATGTACCATGTATAAATGTTTCTAATATTATTGTGGAAACTAACGTGTTTATTAGACTTCACTTGACTTTAGCACGAAAAATGTTCAGATAGTCATAATGCACCTAGTAGGAGCTTCAAAATAGTTTATAGTCAGACCAATCTTTTTTGTTTAAGATAGTAAGAATTCCTGTCTTCAACCCTCATTTTAGCCACCTTTGCTACAGATTATCCGTAACCGTATTTTGTAAAGATCACTCAGTTCACCAGTTAGAAACATGTGTGGGTGTATCAATATAAAACACACAGTCAAACGTCGTATTGAAGTACGAGCATCCGATCTTCGTGGGTGTGTCGAAGGTGCTATAAATATACGCAATGTTATTGATTGACGGTAGCAACAGTTACTGCGACACGAGAACGCTGTTACATGTAACATGTTACGACATTACGCGTAATTCATCATAATATAGATGCTAAAATGTTCAAAGGACGACATATCGAGACAGGGACATGTCACGTCTCATCCAAAACTGAATGTGATGCGAGCGGTATGCGATTTGACTTTTTTACGGAAGAAGGATAACGCTAAGGGCGAGTTTACATGTACCATAAGTCGCGTGACTTCCGACTATCTTCACTGTATTTTCAAATGAATTAGCTCCATGTCACGCGGCACCATAAAACCTGAATGCAATTCCTAGACTCTAACACATTCCCAAACCCACCTTAGGGGTCTATGACAACTTTCAGGAAGTCCACATCAGCAAAGAAAAATTTGAAATAAAGATGAAGGTCTTTGAGGTAGACCATGTTTTCAAATTTAGATATAATTTTATGAAATACTTTTCGTAGGCCTGTAAGATCTTACAATTTTCGTTAAAATCATCTCTATCAACGTACAAAATCTATCAAATTTTTCAAATTTTTTCCACGAATAAACCACGCGGTCGATCTATACCAAAACTAATCAGCACGATTCCTAATTATAACCTGGATAAATCGTTCTAACGATTTATAAATTTGAAAATCTGAACAACAAATTTTGCACTGATTTGCTAATTATAAAGATTTGCATGTCCGATCATCGCGCAGAACTAATTGTAAGGGGGCGCCCATTAATCACGTGATCGATCTTCTATGGATTCTTGGACCCCCCCCCCTTGGTGACACGTTAAGATATTCAAAATAACCCCCTCTCCCCCACCAAAAATTACGTGTATTTTTAGTTACGTAAAATTTTTCGAACATATTTTTCGAATTTACGAAAATTACTCAGGAGTCTGCTTTAGAGGCTTCAAAAAATCGCATTTTTTGAGGAATTTTTAGGGGAGGAAATAAATACTTAATTGAAACGAAACTTTCAGGATTTATTGTTACATATTTCAGCATTCTTCTCAAATTTTTTCATTAAAAGATATGTCATAATATGCCGGGTACAAGCATTTTGCCGATACGCCACGAGCGTGCAGGTGTCATTTGGCAAGTAAGATGCAGGTCACAATTTCCAAAAACCAATAAATCATAACAAATATATATTTTCAATAGTATAGATTCTAAGTTGTATACATATTTTCAATAGTATAGATTCTAGTTGAAGCTAAAAAATCCAAATAAAAATTTAAATTCACCAGTTTTTCGCAACTTGAGAAAAACATCATGTTATTTTGATACAAAATTTCATTTTAGATTGATTAAAAAGTGGGTTAATTATAACTCTTTTCAAGTTTTTTTAGGTTCAACAAAAATAGAATTTAATCCTAAATATAATGAATTTTGTCTCGTTTTGATAGGACGTTTGGTTTTTTCTTTCCTACCTTTCCCGCCAATTAGGAAGAATCGAAAAATTAAAAACCGAGAAATCGCGCGTAGAAGTCGTTCAGCTAGTATACATGCTTGATTAATTCCGAAAATAATGAATTTGTTTCTGAAAAAGGGATATATTTTTGGTAGTTTTTGAAGACATTTTTGCAAAAAAAAAATCTTTTTTTAGCTCTAAAGCAGGCTCACGCCTTAAATCTAGGTAAAAATAAATACACGTGATATCTACTAGACCCCTCCTTCCCCCACGTAATTTTTTGTGATTTTTTATCAAACCTCCCCCTAAAAGCCTCACGTTATTAATAGACGCTCCCTAAATCATCGAGATTCATAAAACGGTTTTAAAATATTTGAAATTGGTGCAACCGTTTTTAAGAAGATGTCGACGTAAGGTCAATATGTAACTACAACCATACTTTTTGGTGTCAAACGGTTCAGAATGACTTAAAACGACGAGAAGACAAAATTACCAAATTAGATTTTCTGCCGAAAACTTCTCCTTTGGAAAGTTGAGACTATCATAATTTCATATAAACAAAAATTAATACAACAATGTTCAGCATAATTTTAAAAGTTAACCACCTCCATTCAGATGTCAATCGAAAGTTGTCACAAATTCTGAATTTATTTGCAAAGCACAGGAACATTAATAATTGAAAACAATTAAAAGGCTGAATAAATTCTGCATCGAACCGAGTCAATCAAATATTTATCTAGTATTTCGGAAGCATTCTAAAATTCATCAAGGCCGCGGCCGTCTTTTCGGCGATAGCACGTGCGGCGCCAGTTTAACATTGCACGACGACATTCTCGCATTGTCTGACTGTATTGAATAATATCTTATACTATACGAATTAGAGTGGTGTTCGTGGATACATTTGAGCATTTATTATTGATATACGAACTTACTAAAACGGGATTATTATATAAGTCAATGGGATAAGATACGACGTTCAGTAGTAAAAGACATTGGTTGGCAAAAGTAAGGGTTAGACCATCCTAAAATTTCATGCAAAATGGGAGTAAAAAATATGAGGAAAACAAACAATTCTATTCAAATTCAAGCAAAACAATATAAAAATTAATATTATTAATATTATTTTAATTATATGATGACAAATGGTGTTCCATGGCGTAATAGTTAAGGGCACTGCTGGTGTAGGGTTGTGAGTTTGAATCCGCTCTGGATAACTGATATCCGGCAGTAGTGAAAACAATTTTAAACTTGAAAATTTGATCAAAAGTTTGTTTCCAATTAAAAATATCCCATTTCAATCACTGCGATGTTACTGGGCAATTCTCTTAGTCTATCTTCCCTGAATCGAATTGGAGAACTCAAGGGCCTGACCCAAGACCGTACCACCCATTATTATGATGACAA